CTTTAAAGGATGCCCAGTTTACAAAGCTGCTTACAAAAAAACCGTCCACCCTGTCAAGGGCTTTGATTCCAACCCCTACCAAAATACCAAATCTTACGCTGGAGCTACCAAAAATTATCAATATTCACACACGGAACCCAAATTAACCGACACTCTCTCAAGTTTTATATCAAATTTAAACTCACTAATTAGTCCCCTTATCTTCTTTCATCAGTCTTAAATGCACTTACAGTTAATAGCACTATTCCACATTAAAATTAATTAATTAACATAATATCTTGTCTCTATTCCTTTTCACATTGTATTACTCAAAAATATCTATACCTATTATATAATCAACCATCACAACATTATAATATTATGTAAAATTAAACATTTGTAAACTTGTAATAGCATATAATATGCTGAAACATTTTAATATATTAAAAAAAAAAAAAAGATATACATCTATTCTAAATCATGGTATTTACGATGCAAATTGATAAAAACTTTCACAGACTAGTAAGCGTTGTGGATGTCATGTTAAAAATATTTGCATAATGACTAGAAAGTACTCACTAGTAACCATCATGTTTAAATACTTAATAATTTAGCCATGGTAACCATCACATAGGCGTGTCATTTTATTTAAAAAAACATTTTAAATCCAACTCGTTAATGGCCGATGCTTTACCGAAAACAGCTTTTCGATATTGGTACCTATATAGTTTTGAGTTTCATTGTACCTACATCAGAACCCTATCTACTCAAACTACTAACTCTTACCCGGAATTCCAAAGACAACGATATTGCTCCCTTTTTTTACAACATATTTACTTGCAACATTAATACAATTTTTCTACTGAAAACTGTTCCTACGTGGACTACACGATAATTGTGGCTAATGAATATCCAGTTTTAGTTTCTGATATGATACAAAAATACTTAAACATAATTTAAGTATCTTTGACTACCAAMATTAACGAATCCAAGTACTTTTTTTATGATATTCACTCTAATACCTTCAAGTTACAATGATCAACGATAAACCTTGATTTAATGCATTTATTAAATATTGTTTAGAACATTTTATACTGATATGGTAGTAAATTGGTCGAAATAGAGTTCCTTAAACAAAATATCTTAAATCTATGTAATTAAAAACAAATTTTTGATACATAATTGATTTTATAAAAATTAGCATTTTTTTAACCTTAATAAATTGAATTATTTATCTATATAGATATCCATTTATTTTTTCATATTTTTAAATTTTTGTGTTTTGTGATGTGTTGTGTGTTGTGCCTACATTTATTGTTAAAAAAAATCATAATATTAATTTAAACATGTCAAGTATATTAATCCTTTGTACCTACTAATTAATTTTATAGCAGAAATCATTAGATAGATTTTAATAACTTAAAGGAAAGAAAAGAATTGTCTTTATGTCATCTTCTCTCAAATTTTCTAAATACTTCATAGTATTGAAAGTGTTTTTAATGAAATAGGTTCTAATAAAATTCATATTTTGAAGATAATTATTGTATTGTAAAATGTTTTTAGAATTTTACTAAAAACAAATTAATTTTTTTGTACTTACTATTTTTCTGATTTTAAAATACATGAAACAAAAAGATAAAAGTTAATTTCAAGGTATTAGGAACAATAAAAATAATAAAAATTTTGCGAAAATTGAATTAGTTTAGGAACATAAACTCCGAGTACTAACAGCAACTTACTACTTTTTGTAAATAAATGAATTACAGTCTACAGATCTGTTRTTTAAAAGTAAAACATATATTATGAATGTACAAAATTTTATTTGTTTTAATGATAAAGATAAGATAATAAATGTCCAATAAAAATTTAGTTGGCAGTCATTATAAAACAAATAAAAATGTATAATTTTTGGCCTAATTGAACTGTTAAATTTATTAAAAGCTAAACCTAGTATTATAAATATTAAAAAAAAAAAATAATGCTAAAATACAATTAATTTAATGAGTCTGAATTAATAAAATAATCATTAGGGATTTTAACCTCTTAAAATTACATTTTGACCAGAAAATTATCGTCTGTACCGGTGTTTTTTACTTCTTGATTCGTTTGAACTAGAAGAACTATTTCGTTTGCTTTTA